AGGATGTCCTTCCCCCCTCATGTTAATTGCGTGATATTATATAGTTGTGAAATGATTACTATATAATACAATCGACGTCTCAAGGTTTGGATCTGAGAATAAAGCAACACTTACCCCCGAGGATTTTGAATCCTGGTGCCAGGAAAAGTCAACTAAATAATACTTCTGGCTCTTCAATTGCAGAGAATGTTATAAATAGTAGGAATTGTGTCTTTGATTTTAGGGTGGATCGTTTTTCGATTTTATCGATGTCCCCACTCTTCATGTCATCTCAAGGTTCTGGAGTCCTTATATATATATATATCAGATCCCGCAAGCATTCCTTTTGTAAACAGAGGGATTGTTGGCTGGGTCTGAATGTTATTGGGCTCTAGTTATCCTTGAATTTCTTTTCCCCCTTCATTAGTCATCTTCAATTTAATTTACACGCTTATTATGTTAATTCCTAGGAATAGACTGGGATGAAACCGGTTGTTTTTTAGTTATTGAAAGTTACATTAAAATGCTTTGCAAATTACGCTTATTCTTTGCTATTATTAAATTTTGTACAACAAAAAATTTGTTTATATATATATATATATATATATATATTCACAGATGTTTAAACAGATCTTACTTATTATAAAACGCAGATTGTGTGTGTGTCTGTCCGTACATTTATATATTGGATCGGATTTCCTACATTTTTCAACCGATTTCAACAAAAAACTCAAAACAGGACTACGTGAAATTACCTTGCGGTGGTTCTGACAGTGCCAAAAATTGGAAAAAAACACAATTGTTTTTTGCACGAAATCAATTTGAAAACACGATAAAACACGATTCTGTCGCCAGAATGAAAGGGGACAACTCATATCGAGTTATACTTATTAAAAACCCAGGTTGTTTGTTTGTGTGTGTGTGTGTGTGTGTGTGTGTGTGTGTGTGTTCGTTTATATATGGGATCGGATTTCCTACATTTTTCAACCGATTTCAACAAAACTTCACTTTTTTTTGCAGGTAGTGTTTCTTATTATCTTGCACACTTTTTCTTTATTTTTTTACATTCAGAATGCTTTAAAAATTCCATTTACAAGATAATTGTTTATAATAAAATTCTATTCAATCGGTAGACTCATAACGATTAAAAACAATGTTTTTGTTTGAGTTTGGGTTTGACCAATTTGTAAAAAAAAAAAAAAAAAAAATTAAGACATGCGTGTCTGTCAACCTTAAACAATAATCTTTGTCAATGTTATATTTCAGTCTTTATGATGGTCGATACTTGATTTTTCTCTTACTGTTACATACCCGGGCAACGCCCGGCTCTACTGCTAGTATTAAATAAATATACACAATGTTTTTTTTTTCTTTGTCTAGGATGAACAACCCCCTCCTCATATCTATTCTTGTGACTTATTTAGCGTACATCGACTGCGGTAAGTATATCTCTCGAAACCATGCAATAATTAAGAAATGTTTCCCAATTCTTTTGCGTTGCTTGCTCTTGTCCCTAAATATCCCACGTTATTGGTGATCCTAGAACGTTTTGAAAACAAGGGCGCAAATATTCCGTGTATGGGTCTGATGTTTTTTTATAACCATTTCTGCCTTCGTCACTTACTTTCTCTTTTAACTGAAGCAGCATTTTTTAAACCGAAATTATGGTAAGAATCATTAAGACAAAAAACTAACGCACTGAATGTCTTTTTTTTTTGGTGGGTGGGGGCAATAATGATCACCCTGTAGAAATCTCAAGAGCTGTTCTATGTCTTAGAGAGTAAGAGGCTCATTTTTTACGGACATGTGAGCAAGATAACAGTCAAACATGAAGAGATTACAATTTTAAAGGTCAAGGAAACATTTGGGATCGGTTACACAAAGCGGCGGTTCCTTGGAAGGGGCTGACCGAGTGTAACTTACATCTCACCAATGGTATACGAAGAAAATGAGGCTGCTTCACTACAATGGGCATATCTAAACATTACACTTCATCGCGGGTCTTAGCTATGAAGATTAGAACAGTTGGACCTAAGGAATGTCTTTCATCTGAACACTTTCCATGGAAATAGCTATAGACCATCGAGAAGCTTGCAACGTTTCGTTTGTGGGAAAGAGGTTGTAGGGTGGAAAGTAATTCATGACTCACATGGACGTAAAGTAAAGACTGGTCAGCTCATTTCCATATATGGCAATACTACTCTATTTTCTGCTGATCTGACTCTTACAATGTACGTGACATGGCGGTTCTTGCCCGTGAAATTTAGAATTGGTGGAATGTGGTTCGTTTGAACATTTTCCAGGAAATAGCGCAAGAACAGCGAGAGGCTCGGGACATTTTATCTGCGAGAAAGGCGTTGCTGAGTTTTAAATAATTTCTGACCCACACCGACCCGAAGACTTTAGTCTCTATCGCGAATAGAATAGGAAGACCAAGGGCTGCTGCTGCCTACATACAGCAACAGTACGCCATTTTTGCCCTGATCTGGCTCTTGTAAAAGTAGAGTATAGCGGGAGGGGTCAGGCACTTTCTGGAATCGTACAGAGAACAGCCAATGTGTCCATCTTCTTTAATGATTATTTATGACGGAGTAGCGAATTTGATCCTCACCGTGTGCTCAAAACATTCGACCCTGTGCTTGAGCTAAGCTGCTCTTTGAAAATTAGTTTGAGCTCCTCGATAGATCAATTATGATTGAGTAGTGAAGTCGATCCTCACTGTATGCCCATCTCTTTCGACTATGTGCCTGAGCTAAGCTGCCATTAGAAATTTAGCTTGGGCTCCTCGACGTGGTGTAATGGTTAGCAAGCTTGCCTCAATAGATCAATTATAACTGAGTAGTGAATTCTATCCTCACTGTGTGCCTCACACTTTCGACCCTGTGCCTGAGATAAGCTGCCATTAGAAATTTAGCTTGGGCTCCTCGACGTGGTGTAAGGTTTAGCAAGCTTGCCTTAATAGATCAATTATGACTGTGTTGTGAGTTTGAACGGGTGGAACTAAAGACTGCTTTTGGTCTGAACACTTTTCATGGAAATAGAGGTAGAAAAGCGAGCGATTTGCAACGTTTCTTGTGCGAGCTTGCTGATTTCTCACCCCGCAAGGACGTTGGGATGCTTTTGGACTCTATTGAAGCGAAAAAAGTGGAAACTGGACAGTTTCTAAGCAGATATGATAGCAATACTCTATTTTCAGCCTGATCCGGCTCTTGTGAGGGTAAAAGGAGAGCAACTGGAGTCCGATACTTACTAGAGCGCCACAGTGAACGGACAATCTTTCCAGGATCTTTTGCAATGGACCACATGCACGGGTTCCAACTGGCGCTCAAAGTACGGGGCCTCCCTCAGGGAAAATCAGTCCATCGTGTCGGTGGAAGTTCTGGATCAGCTCGATGGTGACTGAATATCGCTTGTTTGGTTTTTCAGTTTTGTAAGCTGCTGGGGTTAGATCTGAAAAGAGATGAACTACCAGGCTCTGCACTTCTAGTGTTTTGACCCTATACCGTTGTTTCAGCAGCAGAGATACTAAAAAAATGATCGATGTATATTCTTACGCATGTCTTTTATGTAAAGCAGAAAAGCCTGAACCAATCACAAGCGAGCGTTTGAATCTAAAAATTAATGTAATCAACATAAATTTAATTGTTACGAATCCGCTGAAATATCATTTCAGCCTGTAAATATCCTTTGTTTTAAGTAGGTCTTGTCCCTACCTCGCCATTTTCTCCGTCCATGCTTTAATCTCGATCATAGAGATAATTGATGCGGTTGGGCCTTTGTTTAATTCCAGTGACGCCAAAGGAACGCCAGGTGTTAGATGATAGTTTCGTACTATGGTGAGGGGTAGTCTATCATCCTACCTCGCTGGATTGATGCTTATTGGTAAGGATTGAGTTAAGAGTCTCTCCCGTTACTTAACCCTTAGCCGAGGAAACAAAAATTAATTCAAAGTTTTTCATGAGAAAAAATAAAATAAGAATAAATAAATGGAATTTATGAGTTTAGACGGAGACGTTAGAAGTATAGAGTTGAAGTAGATTTTAGAAGGAACCGGAAACCCAATCCTAAACAAGAAAACAAGGGATAAACCTCTACTCCTATTCAAAAAAACCTATCTACTCCTACTGAAGGAAGAAAATAAATAAATAACATTTCAGAGTTTAGGCGGAGACGTTAGAAGTATAGAGTTGAAGTAGACTTTAGAAGGAACCGGAAACCCAATCCTAAACAAGAAAACAAGGGATAAACCTCTACTCCTATTCAAAAAACCTATCTACTCCTACTGAAGAAAATAAATAAATAACATTTCAGAGTTTAGGTGGAGACGTTAGAAGTATAGAGTTGAAGTAGACTTTAGAAGGAACCGGAAACCCAATCCTAAACAGGAAACAAGGGATAAACCTCTACTCCTATTCAAAAAACCTATCTACTCCTACTGAATGAAGAAAATAAATAAATAACATTTCAGAGTTTAGGTGGAGACGTTAGAAGTATAGAGTTGAAGTAGACTTTAGAAGGAACCGGAAACCCAATCCTAAACAGGAAACAAAATATAAACTTCTATTCCTGTTAAAAAAAAAAAATTATCTACTGCTACTGAATGAAGAAAATGAATAAATTACATTTCAGAGTTTAGACGGAGACATTAGAAGTATAGAGTTGAAGTAGACTTTAGAAGGAACCGGAAACCCAATCCTAAACAGGAAACAAAAGATAAACTTCTATTCCTGTTCAAAACACGAGAAAGTAGGGCTATATGTGAACTTATTTACTCCTCTAACTAGCTCGTGTAAATAGATGGCAGTGTAAGTGGTAAAAGATCATGATTGCTAAGAGTTACAAAGGAAATAGTGGAGAGATATGATCGCCCACGTCCTTAAAGAATGTGCCATATCGATGAAAAAGAATATTTATTTTGTGATTTAATTAATATATTCTGTATTATTTCTGTCTTCCTCACAGCAAGCATCGTCGGACATGGCACAGACGCACTTGGCCATGTTGTTCCGGTTAAATGTACAATGAACTGTGAAACCCAAGGACCATCGGTTGGACCCGTTGTGCCACATCTTCCCCAACCTGCAGGCCCAATCCTTCCTAAATCTAGTCCTCCTGCCTCCCCCGCTGTACAGGTCCCTTCAGATCCACCCGCCTCTGTTGAAAAGACCGTAAGCGGACCTAGCGAAACTAGCGCCCCTGTAGTTGACACGACAAGTCCCAACCAAGCTACATACCATAAAGGATTATATGCTGGACTCGGACAGTCTGTCCATCCCTACTGGGGACAGCTTGGAGCCTGGGGACATCATGGGGCTTGGGGAAATCATGCAGTATTGGAACCTCATGGTCTTTGGGGTCACCACGGAGTACTTCCCCATCATGATGCAGTGGCATATCCGGTTGTTCCCCACGTAGATTACCGTCCCCACGCACTTGGCGGTTATGCCACTGGTCCCATTGATGTCCGCAGTGATGGTGCATCCTACACAGGGTCTGAAGATGACCGTTCTCCAATCGCTGGTGGACCCGTCTCTCATTCTTTGGAAGGCGTAACTAAATGGCACGGACCCTACCACGGACCAGTTGCCCATGTTCCTGCTGGCGGTTACGGAACCCACCACGTCTTGCCTCATCATTCCTTGGGACAAATTGTTCACAGTGAGGTTGCTCACCCAGGTATCGTCACAGGCGGTAGTGTATCCGGAGTAGTTACCCATCACGGTCCCGCCGTCGGATTGCGTCCACATCTCCCTGCAAGCACTCACTTTGGTGTCGTCAACACCCACAATCTTGTACATCGAAAGCTTGGTGACTACACCATTGGAGATATGAAGGATCTTACTAAAGAAGACTGTCCTCCTGGCATTTCCGCTGTTCTTTTCGACAAGTCCGCTAAATCAGCTGATGCTGAGGCCGCCCCTGTCGCAGATTCTGCCCAGGAAGCAGGCCCTGCTAAGGCCTAAAGCACATTTACTTTTTTTCCCGGCAAAAGTAATTAATGACGTTCAGTTAATACATATGTTCCGATTGCTTGTAGTCTCTGGAAGAATAAAAATGTGACTAAAAAAAAACGCTATCACTTGCATCTTTTTTTTACATCTGTCACATCTTTTCCTATTTTTAACATCATTTGTTTTACATCTGGTTACATCTTTTGAAACATTTTTACATGTTTTTGTTATTGGAATATTCTTAACATTGTTGTCATAGGTAAGTATCTTTTTACAAAGTAATGGCTTCATTAAGTCGACCAATAAATGTAAAAGGTTTTCCGTATATTGACCTATACATTGATAAGCAATATTTTTTTAGTGGGTGACATACACGTGTATAAATGTTTTTACCCGTCGACTTATAGATAAGTAATATTTTTCAGGAGTTGAAATACACATGTATAAATGATTCATAGCACTGTCTAAGAAACCAGGCGCAAATAAAAGTGAACTCCACTGAACGGTCAGCCTAATGAGACACATAACAAAACTCTTCATCCGAATGATAGGACAAAAACAGTGCGGGTTCGTTAAAGATAGTGGAACAAGGAATTCGATATTCATGTTCGGAATGCTATCACAGAAAGAGCAGCATTTGAGTTTTGTAGACTACGCAAAGGCGTTCGACAAAGTACTCTTTTAGAGATACTCAACAACCTTGCTATGTTCGGGAAAGACAGTAGAATAATCAAAAATATCTACAGGCAGCAAACTGCCTGCATACGGATAAAAATGTGTTCATCAGATATAAAAAAAAAAAATAGAAAGGCGCTTAAGGCAAAGATGTGTCTTCTCACCGGACTTATTCATCCTATACAGCGAAGGAATTCTGAGAGAACTTGAAATCCTAGTAGGATTCATCATTGATGGACATAAGCAATATAAGATATGCAGATGGCACAGTGCTGATAGCAGACATGGAAAGGAATTCCTACAGAAGGTAGCGAAAGAAATCAAGAAGAAAGGATGAGGAATAAGCTAGAAAAAGACTGAATGCATGGTTGTCAGCAAAAGGGTCAGTTCAAAATGCAAATTACAAGTTGGGGATACTAAAATCAAGCAGGTAGATAAATTTAAATATCTAGGAAGTGTTCTGACAGAGGACAGAATGTGCAACACTGAGATATGAAGACGTACTGGAATGGCCAAAGATGCATTCCAGAAGCTAAGCAGAGAATTAAGAGACAAGAAAATTTCGTTGGAAACAAAGAAAAGATTACCGAACTGTTAGGTGATATATTCCTGTATGGCAGCGAATGCCGGGCAATATCCTCAAAGATGAAGAAGAGACACGAAGCAACAGAGGTATGGCGCTACAGAAGGATGCTAAGGATATCATGGCCAAAGACGCATTCCCAAAGCTAGGCAGTGTATTACGAGACAGGAGGGTTTCATTGGTAAAAAAGAAAAGAGTACTGAGCTGCTACGTGGAATCTGTTCTCCTTTACGGTAACGAATGTTGGATAGTCTCCTCAAAGATGAAGAAGAGACCCAAAGCAACAGAGGTATGGCGCTACAGAAGGGTGCTAAGGATATCATGACCAAAGACGCATTCCAAAAGCTAGGCAGTGTATTACGAGACAGGAGGATTTCATTGATAACAAAGAAAAGAGTACTGAGCTGCTACATGGCATTTGTCCTCCTTTACGGCAGCGGATGTTGGACAGTCTCCTCAAAGATGAAGAAGAGACTCAAAGCAACGAAAATGTGGTTCTACAGAAGGATGCTAAGGACACCACAGTAACGACGAGGTTTTGGAGAGAATTTTAACAAAGATAAAACTCATACATAACATTAGGAAGAAGCAGCTTATATGTCTGTGGCACCAAATGAGGAAAGAGGGCTTGGAGAATCTGATACTCAGAGGACGGGTAGAGAGACAGATGAACATGTGAAAGCAAAGAGTGACATAGCTGGAGTAAGATGGTACAATTAATCAAAAAAGTACAGAAGAAGAAAGGACGAAAGTCTGATTATTTGAAAATAATAAAAGAAACACTTGAAGAAAGAAAGTTTGATTATTTGAAAACGAAAAAGGAAAGAGTTGAAGATATATATATATATATACATATATATATATATATATAATCTGATTATTTGAAAATAATAACAGAAACACTTGAAGAAAGAAATTTGATTATTTGAAAACGAAAAAGGAAAGAGTTGAAGATATATATATATATATATATATATATAAAATCTGATTATTTGAAAATAAAAAAAGAAAACACATGAAGAAAGAAATTTGATTATTTGAAAACGGAAACAGTTGAAGATTATATATATATATATATATATATATATATATATATATATATATATATAAAAATCTGATTATTAAAAAAGAAACACTTGAAGAAAGTTTGATTATTTGAAAACAAAAAGGAAACAGTTGAAGACATACGTAAATAAAGTCTGATTATTTGAAAATGAAAAAGAAACACCTAAAGAAAGAAAAAATGAAAATGAAAACTAGAATAAAAAATAGAAATGAACGCAAGAATATCAACGAATTAAAAATTTAATGAAATGATTCAAATGAGAGAAAGAATATAATATATACTCGCGTATCATGCGACCTTTGAAGACCTAAATTTGGAGATAATTTTTAGGGGGTCGCGTCATATATATATATAGTGCTGGCCCTTTCTACAATTGACCAAATAATACATCCATTTACTCTAATAAAATTAGCTTCAAAATGAGGTTTGAAACATTCGCATGATACGCGAGTACATACGGTTAAAAATCCTTGCAGATAAACAAACGAAGAGATGGTAAAAAGTGAGGGATCAGTTGTGTGTTGTTCTTTAGTATTGAACACATTCTCCATTTCTTGGCCATAGATTCATAGATGAAATTCCAAAATAGATTATAGAATGTGAGGGATCAGTTTTGAATTGGACTTTACTATTAAAGTCATCCCCATTTCTTGGCGATGGTAGATTTATAGATGAAATTCCAAAATAGATAATAGAACGTGAGGGATCAGTTTTATATTGTTCTTTACTATTAAAGTCGTCCCCCATTTCTTGGCCATAGTAGATTTATAGATCAAATTCCAAAATAGTTTATATAAATACACGGAAATTGATAACTTTCATTTTCAGTTGAGATTAAATTAGTTCAGAGTTGAAATTAGTTCCGAGTTGAAATTAGTTCTGTCCCTCATAGAAAGTACCATGGTCACAAAATGATGGATCGGTTTATATATTAACTGTAGTATAAAATTGATCCCCCATTTTATATCCTCATTATAATTTCTTGTTTTTTTTTTCAGATTCTGATTAGGTATGAATCCCTCTCCCCCCCGGCTACGAGTTAAATAGTAAGCCTTGTATCACTAAACTATTAAAAAAATTCTCACACTCTAAAAATATTTTCTGGCTTTAAATAACCAGCAAAGGTTTGAGAAGCCGTAGAAAACGAATCAATCAATGAATTGACACAGATACTCTTCACACACCCAGCTCCATAAAAGAAATGTTGAAATTAGTTCCGAGTTGAAATTAGTTCCGAGTTAAAATTAGTTCCGTCACTCACAAAAACTACCACAGCCACAAAATGAGAGATCGGTTTATATATTAACTTTAATATAAATTTGATCCCCCACTTTATATCCACATTATAATTTCTTACGCCCGACTCCATAAAAAATGTGTGGTGAGATCGTCGGTGTATGACTCATTTAAAGTGCTTACTACGCAGTAATACCATAAATGCACATTTATACATCCAGCAGCTGCAACATGTCCATAAAACTTTGGTGGGAAATTGCACCGTGCTCATCAATAACATGCTGCAAAAATAACTCACGGAATTATTTTGCAATTTTATAGGTTTGTTCTACCCTATCCGCCATATTCATCCGTCCGTGCACTAATTAATTATCTGATTCGATCGTTGCAAAAGGTTTTAATGAACAAAAACTTTTTTATTATTGAAAATCAGCTTCTAGCCTATGCCGAATTTTACTCAGAAGGTACGGAGAATGTTGCCTGACCAGTGACCACAAGTCATTACAAATACTTGTGAATATATACTTTTTTTCATTAGTTTTACTCAACGCAGGCAGTAAAGCCACTAAGACGCAATAGATTTCTGGGTGTGGAAGAATTTTTTTTTAAGGGTTTCACACCAAGCAAGGCTGGAAGCCACTGGCACGCAAGGGGTTACATAGGATTTGGAGCGAGAGCAGGTAGGAATGATAGAGGATAGGATGAGGAGAAGGTTAGTGGATAGATCAAGGCAACTGGGGATGTCGATTGACATTACATTTAAATAGTTGGAGATTATAGCTCTCAGGGAAACTGGAATAGGGAAGGGAGTTCCACAGGCGAGAGTTGCGAGACATGAAGCTATTGGAGTAGAAGAGACGGCTACATTTAGGAGTTTCGACAGTGAAGGGGTGAGAGCGGGATGCCAGCCTCGTAGGGCGCTTGAACTCATGAAGTCTGGGAACCAGCGAATGCAGCTCCTCGGAGCAATTGCCATGAAAGTATTTCTAAAACAGACAGAGAGAGGCGACGGCGCGTGTGTGAGAGAGCGACTGTAGACGAGATGCCAGAACAGGGCCAATTATATTGCATATCCGCCTCTGGATCTTATCAAGGACCCCGAGACAAACAGAAGGGGCTCCAGACCATATATGGCAGCAATACTCCATGCACGAGTGAATGGTTGATTTGTAAATATGAAGGATCGATTCAGGGGAGAAAAATTTCCTGGCGCGGCACAGGGAGCCATCTTTCTTGCGGTGGACGAAGCAATTGACTCAATGTATTTGTTCCATCTTAGGTCAGCCGTCAACGTGAAACCGAGCAGCCGCAGAGAGATGCTCTCGAGAATTTGAGCGTCAGACATTCTAATGGGTGGCAGGGATGACTCCCTGTGGTGAGTAATAGAGAGCAGTTTTGTTTATGAGGCATTAAAGTTAACCAGCCAATTCCTGCCCCAGTCCACAACCGAGT